GCTCTACAGTTAATCATATCATCATAATTAGTTCATATTAATCTCTGGCTCTCTTCCACACTGTGTCTTTTTCATGTCTCCTTCCCTAACCCTCCAACCAGTTGCAATAGATGGCAGCCTAGTTCTGCCTGAGGTTTCTTCCTGTCTAAAGGGAGTTTTTCTTTCCCACTGTCACCAAGGGCTTGCTCATAGAGGGCTGTCTTCTTGATGAACAAAAGACTCCTGAATAAAAGGAGGATCATTTCACTTGACCTGCTTCTTTCAGTGCTTCTTACCATTAAGTCATTCATAGATGTTGCTCCACAACATTCATGTCTTGAGTCTTAAACCTAAAGAGTGAAACTGTGTAACCCCTGCTGTCTGAAAATGTTGAATTCTTCCAATTCTTGCTCTGACGACAGGCTTCTTCTGTGGTGTTTCCTCACAATAACACACAGTCCTCTGCTGTAACCTAACTCATTTGGTCAGCATAGTCCTGCCCTTGCTAACAGGCACTAGGGCAGTGATGGGGAAGACAAAAACTCAGGGATGTAAAATGTTTTTGGAGGCATTATTGTACGATCAGAATGTCCTGATGTGATGACTGAACAAATAAAAAGAAGTAAAATTAGCGTATAAACAGAATTTAGGAAAAACATTTTAAAAACTGATGAGCTTTAGACTTGAACAAGCAATTTATCATCAGGAAATCCACGTGTGTGTGTGTGTGTGTGTGTGTGCGTGTGTGTGTGTGGCTGCTTACTCATTACATCTGCCTGGTTGTGACAAAAATAATCACGTGTGTCTCGCGCACACACTCACACAGTCCGTGTCATCCTCTCTCTGCTGATGTTACTGTTATTACTGAGTGCTGATGTCGACAACCCCTGTTTGGGAGCCAGCAGCATCCGCACACACACACACACACACACAAACACACACACACACACTTACTTGCTGACCCGAGTAGTTTTTCATCGCTCAGTCAATGAATCAGCACGCGCAGACACACACACAGTGTCTAGACCTTAAACTTAAATCTCTTCGTTCTCACAGACGTAACTGTTTGGCGAGGAAGCGAGCGAGTCTGCTGGCTGAACTGGATCTCAGACCGAGATCTCGGCCCACAGACTAGCGCCTGTTTCACAACAAAGAGTGGACAGTTAGTCGTGTATAATTTAAAAAATCAAGCTTTTTTAAACGTAACTCCTCTGATTTGGAGTAAAATCACAGAGTGCTAGGATCAGGAGATGAGGCAAAGTAACTTACCTGATTAAAGTGTGCTCTGAAAGGTTCAGGTGAAACATGTCTGCCTTTAAGACCCTCCACACAGAACTTGTATAAAAAGATGACTGCAGTCAAACCACTGGTTGATGATGTGGCTGCTGTGGCTGCTGCAATGCTACTAAGCTTGGTTAGTTTGTATCAGTAAACTATAGAGTACAAATGCACAGACACTGAATCATTCAAAGCACAGGAGCTCAGACTTTTTGGCAGCAGCCATATTGACTATTGATATGTGCACGTTAGCATATGCTACTTCCGGTGCGGAAACTCCTGTGGGGAGCTTTGTTTCCGGTGTCCTATTCGCGCCTGGTTTA